TGAAGATGATGCCAGTGCTGGATCCCTCGCCAGTCAACCCGAAGGTGTTCTGGTAGGCTTTCATCGCGTTGATGGATCCCATGAGGGAGCTGTCGAAGCCGTTGAGCGTAGAGACTAGGTAGCCAACGCCCATGATCATGTACAGCTGAATCATGCCTCGAGACCATAGCTTCGGCTTCTCTGCCTCGATAGCAGCGGCTGTATGCTGTCAGCGCATTCTTCCCGTTGTCTCAGATGTGATATTGACTTACTAAGAGCTACTGAAGCTACGTTGGCCTCCTTGACGTTCGCATGCTTGTTCATGTCGTCGTCAACTGCACTCAGCTGGTGCGTCACAGCGCCCATGTCTTCACTCTTCTCCGCCATCTTGAATGTGTCGCTGGCAAGGACTGGAGAAGATCTGGAGGTGTGGAGCAGAAAAACGGGAAAGCTCTCCACTTGATGGCCGATTTGCAACGATGCGCAAGCTTTCCGGAATACTGGGTCTCTTTATACTATACAGGCTTCTCCGCAAAATAAGTAGCGCCTGCAGGTAATCTTACCCCATGGCACCGAGGCAAATGCTCTACCTTCCTGACCCGATGCATGGTTTCTGCTCTGCATGCAAACTGTTGCGCTCAGGCGCCACCCGGTTGGCCAAGTATGCTTGTTGTACGGCAATAGCACCGCATTAGGGGCGGAATATTAGCGGGATTACTGGGAAATTTTCAACTTCCAAGCTCGCTATACCACGATGGTACCAAGGCCAAGTAATAGGGCCTTCTGCAGGGGCGGGCCCAGGTCCAGAAGCAGGCCGGTTAGCGGGCGGACCTCCCAAATTGTACCAGCTCTGGAGCGCCACGCGCGAAGTCTTTACGAAGGAGATGAATCAGGAATTGAGCCGGTCGGTTTGGCATTGAGTCGCGATGAACCAGGCGAGGGTTAATGTGGTGTAGCTGGGCTGGGCAGCGGAGTGCGGGGATGGATTCCTGGAGTAAAGCCAGCCGAGTTGGGCAGCCGCCCCGTTGATCACCCCAGTCAAAGGGAAACCAGACACCTACCTCTGCGAATACAGTCGTAAGAAAGTTAATACTCCTGCAGTGCCTCTATGTGTTATAGAAACGCGTTCGGAAATCATCACAAGCTGTAAAGCGCCTGTCCAAAGTTTTCCAAGGCTCCCTTCAACGGAGTCGGAGTGATCAAGCGAAGAACCCCCGCTCGCGCTTGCGCCCGGACGTCGCCCCATCAACCCCCCGATGCGAGCCCTTCCCAATTCCTACATGCAAGATGCGCCGTTTATTGCCGACGGATTCCCTGGTCCTGTCACCTGAGAAGCAGATGGAACGTCCTCTTGGCATCTACGACATGTGGGCGGACGGCTTCCCTCATCAGTCCAAGTCACGCTGCCTCCCGCAGTACGGCCGCCTTACTGTGGGGTGTCGACAACTGTATCAAAGATAGAGGACGTAGAGCAGTGGTTCGTGGAAGTACCATCAACTTTCAATTCATCCATCATGTCTTCAGGTCAACACCCAGCGAGCGTTCCCGACTGGAACAACCTCGATATCCTCCACAAGAACACGCTGCCTGCGCGCGCATACTTTCACAACTACGCATCGGAGGCTGATGCGCTTAGTTCCAATGTGAGCAAGTCTACAACCCACAGCCTCTCCGGCACGTGGAAGTTCCAGCATTCATACTCGCCTTTTGAGGCCCCGGAAGGATTTGAATCGACCACATTCGACACATCATCATGGAGCGACATTGCCGTGCCAGGCATGTGGCAGCTGCAGGGTTTCGGCAAAGGCCCGCAATATACCAACGTAATTTATCACATTCCGGTCGATCCTCCCAATGTGCCTTTTACCGAGAACGAGACTGGATCCTACGTTCGTAAGTTCAAGGTCCCGAAAGATCTCCAGGACGGTCAGCTTCGACTCCGCTTTGAAGGTGTCGATGCCGCTTTTCACGTCTGGGTGAACGGTAAAGAAGTTGGCTATTCCCAGGGTAGCAGAAACCCTGATGAGTTTGATATTACTTCGTTCGTCGACCTCAATGCCGAAAACACCCTGGCTGTTAGGGTGTACCAGCATTGCGACGGAACGTACATCGAAGACCAAGACCAGTGGTGGCTGAGTGGCATGTGAGTATGGTCCGTCGTCGAGATGAACTGAGACTCATCATCATAGATTCCGTGACGTCTTCCTGGTTGGCTTCCCCAAGGCTTCCCGAATCGAGAACGTCTTTGCCCAGACGCTTCTGGATTCATCCTACACTGATGCCGAACTCAAAGTCAAGATCAGTGCGACTGGCTCTGGCAAAGTTGCAGTCAAGCTGCTGGACGCAAAGAAGCAAGAAGTCGCCTCATCCGAGGCAGATATCAAGGGGGATGGTGTGGCTGAACTTAGTATCCAGGTCAAGGACCCACTCAAGTGGACTGCTGAGTCGCCAAACCTCTACCATCTTGTGGTCTCTTCCGGCGATCAAGTTATTGCCCAACGCATTGGCTTCAGACAAGTCGAGATGAAAGATGGACTTATCAAAGTCAACGGTAAGAGAGTCGTGTTCCGCGGAGTTAACCGCCATGAACATCATCCCACTCTTGGTCGTGCTGTGCCGTACGAGTTCATGAAAGAAGATCTTCTTCTCATGAAGCGTCACAACATCAACGCCATCCGCACATCTCATCAGCTCAACGACCCACGACTGTACGACCTCGCAGACGAGATGGGTTTCTGGGTCATCGATGAAGCAGACGTGGAATGTCACGGCTTTGAGAGTATCGCCGATGCCGCGCTTTCGAAGGAGGAGCGCAACTTGCCGTTCCGTGAGCGTCAGCTTATAACTAGGGACAAGGCCGCGGAATGGACGACCGACAACCCAGATTGGACGAAGGCGTATGTGGACCGTGCAGAAGCACTCGTCAAGAGAGACCAGATGCATCCATCGATCATCATCTGGTCTCTTGGCAACGAGGGTTTCATGGGTCGAAACTTCGTGGCCATGTACGAGCACATCAAGAAGTACGACGACAGCCGGCCTATTCACTACGAAGCGGACATTTACGCAGACACCATGGATATGTACTCCAGGATGTATCCTCCGCTTGACGAGATCATCAAGTTTGGTCAAGACAAGGAAAAGAAGAAGCCACTGGTGCTTTGTGAATACGTAAGTTACGCCATGTTGATCCTTAGTTCTATGGCTCACCGTATCAGATCCACGCCATGGGCAACGGCCCCGGTAACATCAAAGAGTACATCGACGCCTTCTACAAGTACCCAACCTTACAGGGAGGTTTCGCCTGGGAATGGGCGAACCACGGTCTTCTCACCAAGGACAAACAGACCGGCGAGGAGTTCTACGCCTATGGTGGTGATTTTGGCGAAGAGGTTCACGACTCCACCTTCGTCATGGACGGTCTTGTCAACTCCGATCATTCGCCCAACGCTGGTTTGATCGAGTACAAGAAGGCTATCGAGCCCGTACAGCTTCTAGAAGTGAATGGTTCAAAGGCCACGTTCATCAACCGATACGATTTCATCACGCTCGATCACCTGGTCTGCAAATACACATCAGTCTCGTCTTCATCATCTGATGGGGTTACTGGAGATCTGGAAATTCCTTCTGGTATCTCGCCCGGCCAGACCTTCGAGATACAACTTCCAACGATCGAAGCTCGCGAGGATGAGGTCTTGCTTAGCATCTCGTTCCAGTTGAAGGAGGCTACACCATACTTGAAGGCAGATTTCGAGATCGCAACAGCACAGGTGCCTGTGACTACGGTGTCGTCCTTGAAGAAGCCTCAATCATCAGGCAAGCAAGTCACCGTTGAGACACCATCTCGCAACACTCTCAAGATTACAACGGAACAAGCCACGTGGGAGTTCAACACCCTCCATGGCAGTCTCACATCCTGGAAGCAAGGCTCGACCGAACTTATCTCCAAAGCGCCTGAAATGGACATCTTCCGCGCTCCTACCGACAACGACATCCCGCAAGACGGCTGGGACTGGAAGGACAAGCAACTCCACCACGCAAAGCCATTGACCCGCAAAGTCGAGTGGTCACAATCAGGCTCGGACACTTTCAAGGTCACCGTGCACCAACGCGTCGCACCTCCTGTCCTTTCATGGTCCATCGACTGCGCCCTCACATACACATTCAGCGCCAACGGCACCCTATCAGTCCACGTCACCGGCACACCCAAGGGCGAGAACCTACCCCGCACCCTCCCCCGCATCGGCCTCGTCCTGGAACTCCCCGCGCACTTCCAACATGTCGAATGGTTCGGCCGCGGCTACGGCGAAACCTACCGCGACAGCAAGCTCTCCCAGCCCGTAGGCAAGTATACAGCCTCCAGCATCGACGCCCTCTGGGTCGACTACGAAGTACCCCAAGAATCCGCGAACCGCACAGATACCCGCTATGTTAGCGTTACTAACGGTAGTGGCGCGGGATTGCTCGCTCAGTTCGCGGATAAGAAGAGTGAGCAGAGGAAGTTGTTTGATTTCCAGGTTAGCCATTATAGGATGAAGGATGTTGCGGCTGCGGACCATCCGCATGAGTTGAGGAGGAAGAAGAGGGAGGAGGTTGTGCTGAGGTTGGATGCGGAACATCATGGTTTGGGGAGTGGGAGCTGTGGGCCGAGGACGCTGGATGAGTATAGTTTGCTGTGCGAGTCTTTTGAGTTTGAGGTTCTGTTGCAGGCTCCGTAGGTTGATGTCGTCATTCAGGACACAGTTCGACGAGGCGGAATATAGAACAACAGTTCATCTTGTGACGGTATATTCCAGATGTTCAGTTCTGACGAATTTTTGGCTTCTCGTATCTGCAGTCCCGATGTCGGTTGTTGTTGTAGGCGGTCGCGGTAACCTTGCGGGCGTCCTTCCACGTGCGCTACTGCTCTTTCCCTCACCTTCACCTGTCGCGACTGCCGAAATTTCGCCCACTACCACTAGCTGTTTTCCACCTCGCAACCTACACACCTTCTGAATCATATTCTCTCTAAGGTTAACGTCATGGCGAGTGGAACGAAGAAGCGACGAGTAAGTGTTAACGCGACTGCATCGGTTCTTGCCAGTCACGATGACGCAGCTGCACCTCAGTCGGAAGCAAGCTAACAATTGGCAGAAGTCGCAGTCCCCGATCCGCGGTTCAGCTTCGAAGCGCGCACGTGTTGCCTCGAAACGAACCCAACACGACGAGCCTGATCCGCATTCGTCGCGCGCTGGGTCTGTTAGGAACACATACCAGGCGCAGAAGCAGATCCGGTCAACATCGCTACCCACTGGAGACGATTGGGTATTCCGCGTGAAAGTCATCTCGTCTGCGACAGACCTGGGGAATGATCTATTCAAGAATGCAGTACAAGGGCTCGTAAGGATCTGCTTCCCTGAGGGTATCCTCGACCAGCTAGGATCGCAAGTACTAGAGCAACATATGCGCGAGGAAAAAGCTCCGGAAGACAACATCAAGAGAATGAAGGAAGTCTTCCGATCCGAGATGGAGCAGCGTATGGTCTCCATGATTGCTGAGCATCTCGACACAGCTGCCAAAGTCGACTCGGTTTTGAGAAGGATATTGTCTGCCAGCGCAAGAGCTCACGGAGATAACCTTGGGAAGAACATCTTGGGTTACATCACTGCTGGCCTACTCAATCTGAACGCAAAAGTCTCTGGACAATCGACACAATGGCTAGCCGGCGGTGGCGCGGCAGCAACAGAAGGAGAAAAGGAGGAAAGCAGTGACGGAGATAGTAGCACCAGCAATATCTCTGACGAAGAGCCTACGCCGCCGCCACCAAAGGTGAATATATCCAAGAAGCGAGAAAGGAAATCACGACGCGCGCGCTCGAAGACACCAGATGACATCACGGAGGAAGTTGAAGTGGATGCTGATCTACCGGCGACATTGCCTGAGCAACGCACATCGAAGGACAAAAGTCGGAAAATCTCTCTAAAGTGGTATCGAGACGTCAATTCAAAAGAGCTTTCAAACACTGCTATAGCTCGGATCTTCTCACGCACGACCGACCTGTTTGCTTATCATGCATTACCTATCTCGAAACAAAAGCTTGGGCCCAATGCATCACGGAGTCAGATTACACGTGACATACAGTCTGCACTCGATGCTACCCCAGCTGAGGAGTTCGAAGAATGGGCTGAGTGTTTACAAAAGCTGCTGAATGGCGACCGCAACATGTTAGAGCGGCAGGAGATGTGTACATCGGGGGACCAGCTGCAGTCGGCTCGCGCAACGCCAGCACCTATTTACGATCGGACACGTTCTCGCGCAGCTGCAAAAGACCTTTCGGGTGGTATGGTGTTCCCCAGTACTCATCCAGGGAACGTTGGCGGGCCTTCCTATAAGAATACTCTCGTTAAACGCGAAGACCTTGGTTCACCATCGGCACATCCCGACACGTCGTCAAAGAGCTATCCAAATGACTCGGCATCGGAAGCCACAACTGCCTTACGGAGTCTACCAATAGAGCATTCTCATAGTCGTTCACTTGTGTCAGCTGTAAGAACCGTAACTGATATAGGAGCTCAGCTACCTGAGCACAAATTAAATCGGGTCAGTATTCGTAAGCTAGCAGAACTCCACGAGCTAACCACCATCAGTGTCCGATCACGTTATTACTCTGGGGCAAGGACAGCATCAACCCATCTCAGTACATTTCTATGACGGAAACAATCATGGCCAATCTGAATCGCCGAGTCTCGGCCGAAGTGAGAATGACTTTGCAGTCAAAATACCTTAGCTAACTTGTCTCAGTACGTGAGACGTGTTGGACGAGATGACACAGAAGAAGTGATGACAAAGACACAACTCAAAGATGCCATCATCAGCGCCTTCCCCAGACCTGGAAAATCTCTAAGCGAAACTGCTTCCCTGCAGATTATCGAACGAAACCTAGTACCATGGATAGTTCTGGAGCCGAGTGCGTTCCCAGAACTCGCAAATATGCCCTTCGTCTTCATCAATATGATGACGGTAGGCCAGTCCGAACCTTTTTCCCTACATGGTGCTAATGATTTGTAGGATATACCGGTTACTCAGAATCTACTTTTTGGTTCTTGGCCAGCGGCATCAGCGAAGGATGAGCTTCAGACATGGTATAGGCTCTTGGTCGCTCTCGAACAGCGAGGTATATCCGAAGTATGTTACCCTTGCTTGAGAATATCGCCATTCACATTGCTAACAAGATAGGAATCCGCGGCCACTTGTTTCATCGATCAGGCACACATCAGCACTTTTTGCAAGAAAAAGAATCCGGATGCATACAAACGTATCATACTTGAACGCATGCTGCGTCGATTGGCCTTCTATAACAGGGACAAGTTCCCGGAGCTGAAGGCTACGGCAGTGGTGAAGACATGGGAGGAGAAGACAGGATTGACGTGGTGAAACCCGCGGGAGGTCGCATGCGCGGTATAACTTTGTAGCAAGTCCCAATGCAACGATGAATGGTATGGCTGTTGTCTAACCAGAAGTACTCAATCATGGATATCTTCCTGTGCAGATTTCCTTTTGTGTTTAGTCAATGAGTGCTGGATTTCGCGCGGATCTTCAAATACAGATTCGAGATATCCTAGGCCTGAATAATTGTGCATATAGTCGACAGGCCACGAGCCGGTAACTATGCAGAGTGGGTTGATTATTTTCTACTCGTGGGGAATCTCTTCAAAAGTAATCTCATGAGACTTGTTTCACACCCATCAGAACAACATGCTGTCAAGTTGAGAAGCCTGCTAATCTCTCGATCAAGACGTGCGTGCAATAGGCGCTTAGCAAGTGCAAGGCATCAACATCCACAGCAAACTATCACTCTGCGAGGACAAACATCACGAGATCACGAACTAGACATCATATATTATACCAGCAACGTAAACCCAACTTCAACTTCAAATTGTACACAAAACGCGATTATACTACAAGTCTATGAATTACGCAACTAACCCAAAACCCTACCAGCAGTAGAAGCCGTGCTGCGGTCCTTGGTCTCCACCTTCCTCAATCCCTTACCCGCAGTAATCTCACCAAGTAGCGCTCCACGATTCGGTGCTCCACCCGGGGCCTTCATGCTAGGCATTGGGGGTGGTGGTGGTGCTCCACCAGCCGGAGGAGGCGGTGGGCCAGGTGGAGGCGGAGGTGCACCGTTCGAGGGCATTGGTGGAGGTGGGGGGATGCCTGCTGGAGGCGATGTCACGGCTGGGCTCTCGGCACGTGGGCTCTTGTTGTCCATGGAAGAGAGAGGGCGCGGTGGTGCCATGGTGCCGAAGAGCATGGAGGCTAGCTGCTTGGCTCCACCTTGAGTCGGGGCTTCGTCGTCGTCGGACGAATCGTCATCTGAGTCGACAACGGACCAGTCATCGTCGTCTTGCCTTCCCAACCTGCGCGCTGAAGGTGCGGCGGGCTCATTGAACGTAGGCATGGCAGCCTTGTTGGCATTCTCTTGTGTCAGACGGTGGAAGGGGTTCGTGGAAACCTCGCTCGTGTTGCTAGGTGGCGGCGGAGGTGTGGAGACAGTGCTGTTCTCCTGGTTGGACATGGCCATCTTCTTCAAGAAAGGGTTCTTGGTTTCAGTGTCGCCCATGCCAGGGTGAGGACTAGTCACCGAGGACGTAGGCGGGCTGGCGATAGATGAGGGTGGTGTGTTGTGCGAGATCTGGGGCATTGGTGGCGCTTGAGGAGGTGCAGTGTCACGCGGCAATTCCTGGCTGGCGGTAGGGGTGGTGTCTTGAGGCGTGATGTTCTGCGGGCCATCATCATCCGACGACTCGTCATCGTCGAGCGCCTCAAGCTGCATCTGTAGCTGACGTTCGCGTTCACGAGCAGCTTCGATCTCCGCACGCTGAGCAGCCAGTCGGGACTCCTTCTCCTTGGCGTCCTTCGAAGCAGCCGCTCTGCGCTTCTTCTCTTCGGCCTTCTTGAGTTTGCCCTGCTGGACTTGCTCTTCCAGGGCGCGAAGCCTGGCTGAAGCGGACTCGCGCTCCTTGGCCAATTCGTCCTCTTGTCTGCGTTCCTCATCTCTGATGTTTGTTAGTGTAATTTCAAGCTATGTATCGAGGTATACGTACTCCATGCGCTTCGTCTCGGCTTCTTGGGCCTCCTGCTGTTCGCGGATAGCCTTCTCAGCCATGTCGTTATCTGCCTTCTTCGACTCTGCTTCCGCTTGCTGAACGTCGTGCTGCGCAACCTCGTTCTTGTTCTTGCGCGAGGCCGGCGGTGGGGGTGCTGGCTTCTTGCCACTGCTCTTGGATGGAGCGGGTGGTGCAGCGGATTCGTCGTTAAGACGTCTTTGACGCTCTTCCTCGCGACGCGCATCCTCTTCTTCAGCCTGGCGTAGCTTCTCTTCACGCTCCTTCTTCTCCCGATCGGCACGTTGTTGGGGTGTCTCACCAGCCTTTACTGGAGCTTTAATGCCCAGAGCAGCGAGACGCTCAGCCATTCGCTGCTCAGCCTGCTGTTTGATGAAGGCCGCACGTTCCTCTGGAGTCTTGTATGCAGAGTACGAGCCGCCAGCAGGCGTAGTTGTTGATGCGCGAGGAGGGGGCTCGACACGACCAGCCGGACTCTCATAGCGTGATGACGATGGTCGGTTGTCCTCTACACGAGCAGCTGATCTAGACCTGTAGTTGTCGCGAGATGAACTGTACGGAATTAGCATGATGCCTCTTGATACTAATCGAATAATACTTACTCGTCTTTGCGGATACGCGAAGCGCGACTGCTGCGCTGTAGATCAAAGATGAAGTCCTTAACGTCATCTTCAACGCCCAGAGCCTCCTCCCATCTACGACGTTCGTGTTCGCTTGTGTTGTCGTGTCCTCCTTCTTTCAGGCTCGACTCCAGACCCCTTGTGTATTCATTCACGCTGTCTTCGACGTCGCGGATCATGCGCTCATTGTTTTCTCTTTCTGCTCGGATGCGCGAAGTCTCCTTCTCCAAGCGCTCAGTTGCTGCGCCCGTGTCGTCACTGGCAGGGGCAGGCCTTCCTGTCAAGGCAGCAGAGCGTGCTTGCATCATAGCCTTGGCGCGGGCTTTCAAGCGATCCGATTCAGTTACTGCACCGCCAGGTCCAGTGCCCACGATGGTGGATGCAGATCCGGGATGCGCTTTGGCGTCTCTGAGTCTAAAGAGTTCGAGCTGGGCGTCTGCGATTTCACGCTCAGTCCGGCGCACGTTGGACGCGAGTTCAGGCAGGCGATCAGTCAAGGTCTGGAGTTGGCGCTTCAGGGCACGACGCTCCGCATCCGAGTCAGTTGATCTCAACGAAGCCTTAGGGTGAGCATCAATGTCCTCTTGCACCCTGCGAATGCGGCGATAGAGATCTTCAGCCTCTCGGCGATCTCGACGATCGAGCGCATCGTCTTCGTCAGCGGCGTTCTCGTCTTGTGTGTCCATGGCATCCAACAAGATCTGCTTCTCTTTGACAGACTTCCTGAGCTGGTCAAGGGACATTTCATCAGACCGCTCAGAGGATGGTGAAACCGGCTGCGCTGGTGAAGGTGAGCGACCACCACCTCCAAGGCGATGTCTAGCGCTCGACTTGTAGCCTACGTTATCGTCATTGTTACGGAATACCGTAGCATCCTTTCGGCCACCAGCTTGTGGGCTACCAGCACGGAACGAGTGGGACTTCAGGTAGCTGACGCCAGTGCGCTGGGGCTGGAGGAAGGCACCAGAGTTCTTCCTGTCCTCGGCATCTCCACGCAGCAAGTTCTTCATTGCACCAATAGAGTCGTTGATGTTGCGCGTGGAAGGGGGGACCAACTCCGGGGGGAGACGGGCTGGAATGGGGTAGCCGTTGAGCTTACGGTAGATCAAATGCATAGCAACGGCGAATTGGTCCAAATCAAGACGACCCCTATCAGCAGAATCGGCAAGTGTCCATATGCGCTCCAAATCTGGCTTGGGCAATCCACTCTGTCCAAAGATTTCAAGAGCTTGAGCTCCGCTAATGTAACCCTTGGTCATGCCGTCCCAGGCCTTGAAGGTGTCATCGTACAGCTTCTTCTCTCCCTTTGTAATAGCCCACGGAATGGTCGCGTTGCCGGTCAAACCAGCAGTCGTATGGTTGCCGCCCTCTCGGCCCGTCTGGGGCATCATTCGTTGCGCCAAAGCCTCGATGTTTGGTAGCCCGGTGGCGGGGGTGTTTGCTAGGCCCCATTGACCAGGCATCCCCGTCGGCTGAGCATTGAGAGGAGCCATGCCGGTCTGGTTGGGTGCGAGATTTGAGCCGAATCCAGTGGGCATAGGAGGCATCGGCGGACGTGGTCCGTTGTAACCGCCTGGAGCCTGCCCGAAGCCAGTGGGCTGTGGATGCATACCCGTGGGCTGCTGGCCGAAACCCGTAGGCTGTGGTTGCATGCCTGTTGGTTGCTGTCCGAATCCAGTCGGCTGTGGGGCTAAGGAGCCTAACAACTGGCTGTTTGAAGGTTGTGGCTGCGGCTGCTGAATTGTAGGAGGCTCGTTGAACTTGGGGGCGTTGGTGGCCGGCGTTTGGCGGTTCGACGATTCGTCCACGACTCCAAACGATATAATGTCAACCATGCTAGAGACCTCATTCTTGACTCGTTCGGGGAGGGAGTTGGGCAGATCCTTTCCGGTCAGCTTGAGATTGCACAAGTACATGGCGAGGGCGAATTCGGGGAAGAGGAGCTGGCCAGACTTGGTCGTGTCCGCAAGGGTCCTGCATCTGTTAGAATCGGGCCACGTATGCGATTTGTGTAACATACCAGATATGCGAAAGCGCGTCCCCAGATAGCTTGGAGCGCATCAGGAGATCCCGCGCCTGGTCTCCCGACAGAGCCTGGGAGTCTCCCACGGCCGACTTGAACAGTTGCTCGAACTTGGCCTGGTCTTGCGCCGTGATGAAGGAAAGCCTTATGCTCGGGATCTTGCTGCTCTTGGCCGGAACGGGCGGTGGCACGGAAGACGCAGAGTTGCCGCGGAATGAATCAGCCATCTGCGCCGATGTCATGCCTGTGGGCTGCGGCCGCTGCGGTTGGGCAGGCGGTTGCTGCTGCTGCTGTGGCGGCGGCGCGCCAGTCTGGAAGGGCATTTGCTGGGGAGCCTGCTGCTGTTGTTGGAATTGCTGGCTCTGCTGCCCTGGGAAGCCCGTGTACTGCGGTTGCTGCGGTTGCGGCTGCTGTCCGAAGCCCTGCGGCTGGCCCGGGAAGCCAGTAAACTGTTGCTGCATTGGTTGCATTGGACCTCCTCCAAATCCCGTTGGCTGAGGTGCCAGTCCGCCCTGGAAGCCGCCGGGCTGCTGGAAGGGCTGCTGTGGCTGCTGCTGCCCATACTGAGGCTGCCCCGGTCGGGCACTGTTCCCACCCCCTAAGTACGAGTTGGACCCAGAGAACATGGTGGGCGAGGTGTCGCGGGTCGATTAGAAAAGGAGAGATGCGCGCATGCGGTGGGAGAATTAGAAAGGTCTAAGGAGCGCGCGCAGGCGGGAATGGTGAAAGGTGGAATGGGGTTGGTTGCGAGTCTGTGCAGCTCGCAGCCCTGGAGATCCATGGGTAGGTTCGCGCTAAGGTCCGTCAGTCGTCATCTTCGAGGACGCGCTTGCCTCCTCGGCAACGGGCGCCCGCCATTCACGACTTCCTGCACCATCTCCACAATGTCGAATGCCCAGAATGGAACAGGCGCTGGTCCACAGTCACAGGCCGAACTCGCTCAAGTAAGTTGGCGCAAGTCCCTCTGTTCTGAGTGTTAACAGCTCCGGTAGGCGTTCAAGGACCTGCAGCGAGGCGAACAGACCGCCGCCGCCTTGGAGAACCATCTCGATTCGATCGAAAAGCAGATCGAGGCGCTTTTGGCCCAGGCGGAGAAGGCGGAGCAGGAACTGAAAAACACTCCGGAAGAGGACGAGAAGCCTTCGAGCGAAGAAAAGGGCTCTTCATAATGTCTACCCAGAATGCGCCTGCCATAAGATGTATGCGACATACGCTCGGATATACTTTCTTGAGATACGAGAAAGCCGCCACATGACGTACGGGCAACATGACCGACGGACACGAGTTTCACGAGCAATTTGGACGTCGTTGGCGAGGCAGGACATAAGCATGCATAATGTGCTCTTAGCAGAAGGGACAGTTCCAAGGATGGATTGATGAAGGACGATTTGCGCTTCCAAATATCCTAAACACTTGTCTATAAGCCACCGACAGTTGAGGGCTTTACTTCGGACCCCTGCGTCTTGAAGACCTCGTCCAAATGGAATACACCATTACTGTCCTTCTCAACCACGCCTACCTCGGTGATGATGCCATCAATGAGCTCCGCAGGCGTGACATCGAAGGCTGGGTTCCACACACCGATACCATTTGCCGCAATGCTGATAGTTTCGACAACACCCAGATCCAATGTAACGCCATCATGTCTAGGTCCCTTGACAAGTGTCACTTCCTGTCCGGGGCGTTCTTCGATGACGATGTCGGCCCCCGATTTGGTCTTCAGGTCGATAGTAGTTCTTGGTGCGGCAACGAGGAACTTGACGCCGTGGTGCTTTGCAAGAATGGCCAATGAATAAGTTCCAATTTTGTTGGCAGTGTCACCGTTCGCAGCCACCCGGTCGGCTCCAACCACAATACCCGCGATGTTCTCGCTCTCACCGCGAAGTCGAAGTAGCGCTGCCGCCATGGAGTCAGTGACGAGAGTTGCCGGTATCTTGTCGTGAACCAATTCGAACGCAGTCAGCCTAGAGCCCTGGTTATATGGGCGTGTCTCAGAACAGAAAGCGTGCTTCAAAGATCCATTGCCGTGCAGTGAGCGGATTACACCAAGCGCTGTGCCATATCCAGCAGTTGCGAGAGACCTGTAGGATTAGCCGCTGGATGTTGATGGTGCAGAATGGTACAAACCCTGTGTTGCAGTGCGTCATCATGCTCACAGGTCCCTTCTTTCCTGCTTCCGTGTTCTTGACTATCCACTCTGCGCCATGCTTGCCGATACTCTCGTTATCGCTCACATCGTCAACCAGCATCTTCTCCGCAGCAGCCACGTACGCATCTCTCACGGCTTCTCCACTCGCTTCCTCAGTTGCAGCAGCTTCCTTGGTAATCTTTCGAAGTTTGCCTGCTGCATCTGCAAGGTTGACGGCAGTTGGTCGGCTGGTCACAAGGTAGTCCAGCTTTTCTGTAATGAAGATCTCGACCTCCTCAGCTACCGATGAGAGCTTCATGTTGGTGAGTTCGACTGCGAGGGCGAGGGCAGCGACTATGGCGATGGCTGGTGCACCTCGCGTCCGCATCTCCTTGATGGCGTGCCATGCATCAGTGCTGGAGTAGATGTGGTCATATTCTTCAGCATGCGGTAATTTCAACTGGTCCAGAATCTCGAGCTGGCCGCGTGAGTATTTAATCGCCTGGAGTACCATTTTGAAGGTTTCGTAGAATGGCGTGTCACTTGAATGCGTGGCAGAAAATTTCTGGATGGTGAGCGTTGGGTGTCAACAGCCCCATCGCGGGCCCTGACGCTAACACGTGGGAGCCGCTCAACCCAGGCATGCGTGCGGCCTCATCTAAGTTACACGACATACCCAGACAAAACATACACGGCCCACCGCCTGGCATCGATGCATCGCTGCTACTCCACGATCCGTAACTCTCGACACTTCGGCATGACGGCACGCGATGACGAAATTTAGCCACGTGTGGCTCGGTGCCAAGGCTAGCTCCAGCCACCAAGCAACGCACCTGCCGGTATAGGCCACGGCCTCGCTGTTCTAGCCGGACCAACATGAGCTGGCCGTATTGATAATCCACATGCATCGAGTAACCATCGCAAAGGTCTGTATTAAAAGGGGCGGACATGCATCTTGCAACTGAGCCTTCCATTTTCACTGAAAGTACCGCATTGCAGCCCTACGAGAGCCGCAAAAGAAGGGTCCGTCAGCTGCAAGGAACCGGCAGTGAATTGACCGCGGTTGTCCCATGACGACGCCAACACTCGGACTTCACGCATATACCCTACGGCCCTGCGCGCCCAATTGCTCCTCCGCACCTCCGCTCCCGCTCACCCTCTAGATATCCCTAGTTGTTCGTCGCATAAGAACTGTGTTGTCCAACCAAGACGTTTTCGGTAACCACGCCCGTCTCTAGTTCTTCCCGATAGGCGGAGAAAAAGACCCACATCCTCACTATTTATCTTCCCCAACACCACACGCAGCGCAAGCCACCCAGCCAGAGAACATTACTGTGCACATGCGCAGACCAGCCAATCGCCGCATCCTACATCGCCTTACCTCGCCGTGCCTTACTGGACCCTCGTAGTTTGGGCCCGATATCGATTGGAAGGTCAGACGAGAGAAATCGCCACGCCTCGAACAACCCCGCGCACCTTTGCGCCAGTTATATAACGATGCCCCTCATGCCGCGCTCCAACTCGAGCGTTGGGGTAAGCACCGCAGTCATGGCCTCCCAGGAAGAGCCCATACAGCCCTCGTACCGAGGCTACGGCACAATGGCTTCCCAGCGACCTGCGCAACGCCAAAGACGGCACTCATGGCACACACGCCCCTGCATGCAGGAAGCAGAGAACTTCCAGGTCTTGGTAAGTTATACAGCGCACATGCGCTCAACAGTCTGCTAACAACGGCAGCTTCGTAACTTTCTCGTCGAACTTAACTGCCGCATGGACTTTCTGGAAGACTATGGCCACCTCAAATACGATGCCGGAGTCGAATACGCATACAACACACTGCTCGCCGTCCGCGAATCCTGCTCGAAAATGTCCGACGGCGCAATCGAGGCCGGACGGCGGCAGGCTTCTGTCTTCGTCGAGACCTTGGAGGGACGATACAAAGATGCAATGGAACGGAAGGAGACATTCGGGGAGAAAGTCCTGGAAGGAATAGTGCTCATGGACAACTACCTGACCGAGTTTGAGACGCGCGCATATGCTATAAGAGACGGATCCATCGGCTCCTATGCGCAAGAAGTCTATGAGGAAGGTCGGAGAAAGATGGACGAGGGAATTGAAATTGCAAAGGGCGTGGTAGACGGCGGTCTCGACAAGGCACGACGCGCGCGTGAAACGATCGAACTCCGAGTTGAGCACGCTGTGCAACAAGCCCTAGAGCGAGCAAAGGCACACGGCCTGATACGCTACGACGACCTGCCCGAGCCATGGCGAGTCAACCCACACATCCTCAAAGGCTACCGCTTCCAAGAAGGAAAGTGGGCTTGCGTCCGATCCATCTTCGGCCTTCACAACGAGCTGATTAATATCTGGACACACCTTCTCGGATTCATCATGGTGCTCGCCATTGCCTTTTACTTCTATCCTTCGAGCACCAACTTCAGCATGTCGACAAAAGCCGATATCTTCATAGCAGCAGTCTTCTTCTTTGCGGCATGCAAGTGTCTGGCCTGCTCGACCATCTGGCACACCATGAACAGCATCTCGCACCAAACGCTGCTCGAGCGCTTCGCCTGCGTAGACTACACGGGCATTTCCCTCCTCGTCGCCGCATCTATCATGACAACCGAATACGCCGCCTTCTACTGCGAGCCCGTCTCGCGCTGGTCATACATGTGCATAACAGCACTGCTCGGCATCGGCGGCGTGATCCTACCCTGGCACCCAACCTTCAACCGAGCCGACATGGCCTGGTTCCGCGTCTTGTTCTACTGCTCTCTCGCCCTGACTGGCTTCCTGCCCTTCGGCCAGCTCGCCTACACCCGTGGCCTGGAGTGGGCGCAGTACTTCTACGCGCCCATCACTAAGAGTCTACTTGTATACGTTACCGGTGCGTTACTGTACGCGAGCAAGACGCCTGAACGCTTCTTCCCCGGCCTTTTCGATTACGTGGGCTGCTCGCACAACATCTGGCATGTTGCTGTGCTGGGAGGTATCATCTTCCATTACATGGCTATGCAGACTATGTTTACGCAGGCCCTTACGAGGGCTCAGACTAGCTGCTCTGTGTACTAGGAGCATCTTATCTTGACGATCTTCTCCGTACCTCTTACTTATCCTTTCTCTTCTTCCCCTTCTTCTTGTGGAGCGTTCGGCATTGTGGAGCGAGTTGGTTGTTTGCATTGGGTAGGCGTCTGACCTATAGATGTTGAGATGGTGGGTAGATGAGAAGGGTCCGGTCGGCGGATGCCATGCGGGACGCTGTATCTGAACTCATATAGACTGTCGATAATTACTACATCATGAATCCCTGAACATTCATCCCAAACTCCGCCTAACAATGTGCACCTTTTGTACGAGCCATTCATTTCTGCACCTGTAACCTTTGAATCAGACACAACACGCCGGGTCTAATGTATGCCTTTCGTCATTATGACTCCCAAATGCTTCTCTAGATAAAACTACCTACCTAACAATCCCTAAACGCCATTCGCTATGCAGACAACCCATTTTGGCCCTTCGCGCATTCCCATCTAATGACTATCCGGCACATCCGGCAACCTCTCAATAACATACTTCCCCTTCGCCACACTCACAATCGGCACACCCGGAATCTTCCTAATCCTCCTCTTAAGATCCCTATCATTCGTCGCAACAAGGTAAATCCTATGCTTCTGCACGCGATCCACAATACAGTCGTCGGCATACGTGCCCTTGTGCTCGCACTTGAGCCGCTGCCAGCGCTCGTCGCGCGCTATGCGCAGCGCGATGCGGTATTTTGGACCGAGTTTCTCGAGCTCCGCCATTACGCAGGTGGTTATTATGGGTGTGGCTTTTGCGTATAAGAGGTCCATGAGCGCTTTGTCGAGCTCCAGCTTGGCGTGCACGGTGTGGGAGAGGAAGTTTGTGTCGACGAGGACGGAGTAGGGGGGGCCGAGGGCGGTGTTGGCTTGGAAGAAGAGGGCGGAGGAGACTTGGGGGCTGGATTGGGGGTGTTAGTTGGAGAGAGGATGGTGGGGCTGGGCGGTGCGCGTTGGCGGTTTTGTCTGGAGCTTACATTTCTCGCTTTGCCTTGTTTTCTTCCTCTTTCTTCTTTGCTTCTAGCTCGCCGGCCATTTGGTTCTTCTTGCTGGTGTAGTGTTAGTGCTTCTGGAGCGAATGGTAGTGGAGCGCGTAGTCGCATACAGTCGTGCATCTCGTTGGCCTACAGATGTTAGTAGAAGCTCATCTAGCGCACATGCTGACCATACCGACTATCCTCTTGGTTTGCGCAAACTTGCGCGTCTTCTTCTGGACTCCCATATTTGCCGAGTGCTAGACTCTTCCGTTCGCGCGCAGACTCAGTCGATATATAAAAGCCCTCTAAAGCTTTCTGCGCGGCAGGCGATCTAGCTTGTTCGTCGCGATAGCTTGCGCAGGGTCGGGATTGGGGTCGTGTCGTGGTGGTGAATGTTCGCATACCACTTTTGCTATCGATAACGCGGGCAACTTTTTGATGCCAAGACATCCAAAGTTCGTCGGAGCTTTTCATAGCCAAAGCACCTGCAGGCAGGGCAATCATTCATTAAGCAGAAATCCAAATCTTACACTTATTCTAAAGTACTTCTTAAGCGCCTCTAGCCTCTCTCCTTCGCTCTTAAACTTAATCTCTTTAGTCTTCTTGCCTTTTATGTTCCACTTCAGCGAAGCCGCCGCTAGGCTTATCTTGCCTTTAAGCTCCCCATTATCACCGAGTAGCTTCTTGTCCGCTACCACCATCTGCGTAAAGGCCTAGAAGCCGATAGACAACTTATACAAACGAGTTGCGGTGATAGTTGTAATAGGCGCCATTGCCTTTGTTGATATTCAGCTGCATCAAGACGTATAGCATTTGAAGACAAGCACTTCGCTGTCGCTCTTGTGGTGTACCGGGTACCGCAACACACAGCTGGAGGTATTCTTGGCCCGTAAAAGGAGGATGGACGCGTGCTCTCATCGCTGTCTCGACTTGGGCACCCATGTTACTAGCTTGAGTCGCTTGGCCTAGGCGTAAGGCATCGCCTGGATGGAGAGTACGGGCGTTATTAATGAAGTTGCCTCCTATTCGGTACCAAGATTCGAATAGGTCCACGATATTCTGCGTAAGGCCGCCCCGTCGCTGGAAAAAGAAGAAGGTGAAGCGGAGTAAAGCTTGCGTGGACCATCGATGAAGGAAGTTCCGCAGACCAGATAGCGCGGTTGAGAGGCCGTCGTAACCTCGGACTAACATGTCGATGTCCGTGTTTGGGGCTTGACGACCGAGGCAGATGAAGAGAGGCAAGAATTTGAAGCCCAGTGGCCCTTGTGGATTGGAAGGTATGTCGTGTTGAGAATCTGGAAGTTGTTAGCACAAAATCACCCTGGTACTGGGCAAGAAGACATACCCATGTTCTTTATGTGAACGCACATAATCTCATCAAAGACACTGTATGAGAACCCGACCCAACGTAGAGCATACACCAGACTCTCCAGCAATACAGTGCGCATGTCGAGATTGTTCTTTGTCTCTCGCGAAAAGACTATCAGTTTCTTCTTCGGGCCCGACGGCCCTGGTCCAAGCGGATGTACCAACCGCGTTGGATGCTTGAATGACACTGCAGCTGAGAGCAGCCCTTCTGTGAGGAGAGCAGCTATGTAACGTTAGCATACATCTATGTTACGCTAGTTGCATGAATAACTTACTGCACCCTAACAGTTTCTCGAACAGCGCAAAGTCCCCGATGGCAATTCTGGATTGATCTCTGGGAGCCGGAAGGCTCGAGATGGCAGCTTGGACAGCGCCCATGAGTTGTTGAGCTGCAGCGGGTGTGCGATTATCGGGCATAGTCACTGCTGTAGTCGCTGATGGTATGGGGTTGGGTTGGATTGGTACTATAGATATGTCAGAGCTACTGCTGAACGAGAATGGTATTGTGAGTAAGATTACCTGGTGCGGATGCTGGCGTGGCGAAAGGTAAATAGAGTCTGTGGCCGCTGGCGGTATGAGTCCATCCCCAGTAGCCACCGTTGCGAGGAGTTATCCATAGTCTGCCCCAGCTATCGGCAACAGGTGGGCCGTTCTGAATAGGTCGACCATGGGGCCATGATAAAAGACCTAGTTGGCTAGCAGAAGGTCGTGATGTGTTACCGGTTGAGTCGGGTGGATTGAGATCCGGCCAATTTGCAGGGCGTGGTAACTGACTTCGATTAGCAGAACTTGGCTCCTGCCCGCCGATCGGATAATCATAGGCGGTCGATGGAGATGTTAAACCTGAATTCGCGGATGGAGTTGCCGCAAGTGTTCTGGTTGGAGCAAAAGTGGTACGGGGGCTAGGTGAAGTACGGGTTAGGCCTGGGGATGATGCAGGATTCGGCGCTGTCCTCAATGTTAGTGATGTTGGAACTGGTAATAAGTTAGAAGCGACTCACCAGAACCATGGCTACCACTTTTCTGCTCTGGGGACTTCTGGGGTGTCTTTGGTGGTTGAGCAGGAGGAGAGCCCTGGTTACTTGGAAGTTGAACCGGGGGTTTGCGGCCAGCAGTGCCAACTGGTCGTAGGGTCTGGCATGAGTTGCGGAAGCGTTGGCATCGCCCGCAGGCATCCTGGCCGGGGACGCGACTGCATCTCTCTTTCACAGCATGGCACCTGTCGCATGCTCGTCTTGCTGGCGGAGCGGGAGGAGCAGGAGCAGGAGCAGGAGCTTGGGGAGTTGGAGCTGGAGGAACAGAAGCAGGAGCTTGGGGAGTTGGAGCTGGAGGAACAGAAGCAGGAGCTTGGGGAGTTGGAGCTGGAGGAACAGAAGCTGGACCTTGACTTGAGAGGTTGTTCCTAAGCTGCTCCGCCCTTTTCGCAGCTCTTGCGTTGTTCTTGATCGTCGCCTTGGAGTCTGGTCGTCGTGGCGGCATGGTGAGTGGTGGGCCGGATGTTGAAGCTGGATGCGAAAGCAAGTAGATCAAAGCAGCGGGTGCGAGAGAGAGAGAGAGAGAGGAACAGTCGAGGGCGGAGACTATATCAATCGGCGGGGTCCACTAGCGTGCGCTTGCGCAATCGCGCAGTTGACGCAGTTGACAAACGGTGACGAAGTGAAGGTGACAGGGAATGAGGATTGAGTGGTTGTGAATCGTCAGGCTCGCAAACACGATGGATGAGCGGTAGGTCTGGCGCCTCTTGCAATTTCTGCGCAAGGGGTGATGGTTATTGGTGTCGTCGATTTTTGGCCCGTTCTCATACCTTCACTTCACTGTTGGATCGGTGAGAAGGCTGTTGCAATTGCGAGATCTAGTAGATTTAGCGGTACTCAGACAAACGACATGGAAAATCATCTGACCATCGATTCCGGACACACTGAAACCTGGATTTGAACGTGTTATGTGGGTGAGATGTAGTAGCCTTGCTGACGTTTGGTTTTCTAAAAGCCCCAAGAATGCGCGCAGAATATACGCTTTGAGAAAGAAGTGGAGTAGCACGCGCAAAGTTTGCTGTTGCTGAGTAGAATAGAGCGTGTAATATGGCGAGCTCTGTTGGATATATAAAATGTGGGAAGAAGACAAGATCCCTGCAGTATGATCCATGTTAATAGAGCAACAAATTTGGTGAGATATGACTGTTGGCCAGAGAGAGGTGTTGGTGAGTTATGACTTTCGACGAGAGTGATATGTTGGCGAAATATTAATAAGAGAGGAATGTTGGCGACATGGATGTGTTGACGTGATATTAACGAGAGAAAGCTGATGCAGCTTTTCCCTTCTTGTATTCTATTGCGGATATATCGCTTTGGTCGTTGAGCTTCTTAGGAGTGGAATGTGATTTGTCGAGTTTGATTGAAGAGAGCTGACACAGCTTCTCCTGTGGTTTGACAATTTCAGCCTGTTGGTGACGTTGCGCGAGATGAAGGGCAAGGTTGTCTATGTTCAGAGTCAGTTAAAAGGCAATCACAGCACAGAAGCTTTGTCCTACCATGATTAGAGCGGTAAAGGGAGCTGTTAATAGAGAAGGCAGTATGCTTGATGTAATGAGCATGCCACGACATATCAATAAAGATCGGACTTGTGGCGGATAGTGACAGTTGCTAAGAAGAGCTGATGCAGCTTTTCCTTTGCAGTTTGTACTTGGCGCTGTCTGCGCATATAGCTATGAAACTCTTGAATACGAAGATGTTGATCATAAAGACGTAGGCAATAGGACCAAAGAGACGGATGAGACTGTTCTAGGGAGAGCTGACACAGCTTTTCCCTTGAATTCATTCTCAAGTGCGTCAGGATTCGTCGTTGTCGGTGTTGGGGAGCGATTGCCGAAATTGACTAAGGAGAGCTGACACAGCTTTTCCTTTTGTTCGACACTGTCCGCTTGTGGGAGATACTGGCGGTATGTCCGGGGTGACCTTTGTTGGAGTGGGGGGAGTTCGGCAGTAATCATGAACTGTGACTGGTAGAGGGGATCCGCCGCACACATATTCTCCAGATCGGTGATGCGGCTGATGGCAAAGAAGGCCAACATGCGATTTCCTCGGATTGTATAGTATGGCGAAGGGTGGACGGTGGACGACAGACGGTGACTAAGGAGAGCTGGCACAGCTTTTCCCTTGCTTCTGTCCACATTGCTAGGCCGTCGAGAGATGGATAGGGCACGTCGGGAGAGCTGAGGCAGCTTTTCCTTCCGTACCCATGCACACTGTTGTTGTCGCTGGATATAATGACGTTGTTGCATTTGATGTTAAAAGCCTGGGTTAGCGAGAGATGTGGTACGTCGGGAGAGCTGAGGCAGCTTTTCCTTCCGTACACATGCCCGCTGTTGTTGTTGTTGTTGTTGTTGTTGTGACTGAGTGTAACGACGTTAATGCGTACGTTAGGAGAGCTGAGGCAGCTTTTCCTTCCGTACACATGCCCGCTGTTGTTGTTATTGTTGTTGTGACTGAGTGTAACAACGTTAATGCGTACGTCGGGAGAGCTGAGGCAGCTTTTCCTTCCGTACACATGCCCGCTGTTGTTGTTGTGACTGAGTGTAACGACGCCGATGCGTTTCATGTTGAAGGCTGGGGCGAAGAGCAGGAGATTCGGCACTTCGGGAGATCTGATGCAGCTTTCACGTCTGTCTATGGTAGGGACGAGGTTATTGGAGAACGAAGTCGTGCACTGTGCACTGCCGTATTAGCATGTTGTTCTCAATTCCCCCTCAAGCCAGAACATACCTACGAGCCGACCAAGGAAGGTGCGATGTAGCGAGACATACTCGACAAATTGATATGCAATCAATAATGCCGTATGTTCCAGTGCAGACCAGATACCAAGAAGCCGGCTTTGGAACAGTTTTCGAGGTGTTGAATCGTGGTGATGTGGGGTATCAGAGTCAGTGATGAGTTGAGGCAGTCGCCTTTCTAAAATGTGAGAGATCTGGGAAGGAAGGAGCGCAAATTTTCATCACGACGAGCCAAAACGAGCGTCAACCTAGATGTTTCTTTCATTCCATCTCGTTCCCTTTCATCTCATCTTATTCAAGCACAATGGCCGCTCAAAACGCATCTTCGCCTTCGGGCATTCCCGAAACCGATTATGGGGTTTGGCACGACACGCTCCAAGTTCCCCCGACTATTGGCACATTGAATTTCGCACTAGTTGCAGCGATAAATGCGGGTACTACAGACGTAGTGCCGCAGCGGATTACGCAGCGGCATAAGGGGAGTCATGTTCACTTGCGCGCGTGCCCGTGGATTGGGTGCGGCATTGTAGCATCTGATGAAAAACGCCATCTTAAGGAGTTTCATGACGAGAAATCCCCAAACGTCATAGTAGGTACCTTCTTAGCATCTTCTTTCTTGTACTTGATGACTCTACGTGCACATCTTCTCTACCTTACACTACGCAACATTTTTTGTTTACTTTTATTCTTTTTCTAACGTATCAATATAGTGCATCAACTGCGACGCAAAGAATATTACGTGCGACCGACCGTTCCTCGAGGCTGATGACAATTCTCCCTGCACAGCGTGTCTTCGCGGTGGTTACACTTGCGTTAGCCGAACAAAAATCGTGAAACGCGGTGGAGAACTAGTGCAGTTGGACGAGCCTGCTGCCAAGCGCCTGCACTAGGAGGATCTGTCAACGCTGGCCCTGCATACAGGCCGTGTTTTTCCTGCATCCCTGAGCCAGCAACGAGGTGCAGACGTCAACAATCGGCTGCTCTGAAGAGGCCTGACACGCGGACGACTCGATCACCGCGAAGAAAGCACCAATTTCCATTACTACACTTTTCGATTTTCGATAAATCCCCGTCGCTAGTCTGCGGCCACCCACACATCACGCGAACGGGGCGCTCAGACTGCGCGTATTTGCCCAGCGGGTCCTCGACTCCGCCCCTTGTTACCCTGACCCCGTATCCGTCTTGCACTCCACCATCAGCATTTCCTCTCGTTCCCCGTCACTCGTTTCGGCGCTTCTCTGTCCTATCGATATCCCCAGCGACTGCCTCCCCTCGTCGTTTCACTGCTTTTCTTTCACCAAACGATTCCTGAAACACGTCTGTTGGAGTACACGAGCCTTGAACACCGGGTCTCCTGAGCCCTTTCGAAGACTGCCCAACGGCAACCCTACCTCCGCACACACCTAGACACCACAACCACGATGCGGCCTTCCGTCGGCTTCGTGGGGCTGCTGCTCGTAGTCGCACCCACAGTCCTCGCCCAGATCGAGAACGCACCCGAACTCAACACCGTCGCGCCAGGAGGCGACGCGGCGACGAACACAGCCGAGACCTCCGCCGCCGAGACAACACAAGCAACGACAACGAACGCTGACGAGACTGCTGCCACATCACAAGCCGCCACCACGGAAACCACCGAGGCAGCAAC